AACCGATTAAGGAGCTTTCCCGATAGCGATCGGTTGAATGAAGCTACATATATATTTTCATGATCGAGCGAATCCAAGATCACGGACGTCTGACGGCCGGTGCGTAAGGAAATTGAAAAAGGAACATTTCTTTTAATAGATGTCTCCCTGAATACATAATTGTTTATTTGAATTTTCCAGAAAGCTTTCAGCTCTGAGTGACAGCTCACCTATCCGCTAATCAAACTAACATGTTAATTCATTTATTCTGTGTGTAACGTAACGAATAAGCCCATCTTAATCGATGTTGACCCCAACTGCAATAAAATGAACAAATAAAATATAAATAAAGGCAATTATGTTTATGTTGGTGTGATTTTAAACTCCCCAACATTTTCATTGCTTTTATTGCAAGATCCGAGTAACTAGAAACTAGACATAGTATAAATCTGTTTCAACACCGTTTTCGCTGTGATAGTTCTAACGAAATCGCAATTTAATCTTATAACTGAAAAAGCTGTAGAAATCTAAATTCTACGAAGCAAATTCAGAATGTATAAAATTTTATTATCTACAGCTATTCCGTGTTGTAAAAGAATTCGATTCGATGGAAGGGAATAAATCGAGCTCGTAAATACCTCGTCAATCTATTTTGAAAGCTGTTGTTATGAGCGGATCAACAGGATATTCAGATGCAAAGATACTAACTAGGGGCGTATCGCAACTACGTTGAATCGTTTGTAGAGCAAATTGAACTGCAGCAAAGCTTACATCGTTGACTTTGCCAATAGCGAGACGTACTTTGATCAAACATCATCCGGTAAGGCTGTATTTAGACGCTCACTCGCACGGGAATCTGAGGGCAATACTGGGAATTTCTCTGAAGTTGAAAGTCTCAGATGTTGAATTAAGTGACGCGTCTGAGTTTTAAAGTGGATAAAAACATAAATGTTATTTAAAAAAGATTAGTCACACTATTTTAAATTATAAAATTCTAAATTTAAATTTTAAATAATAATAAACTATACAGTTATACTATTTTTTGACTGCAGCTGCGCCCGCGTTAACTTTGGTCAATAACATACGCGCGTCTACCCCTCTTGAAACTACCATAATATGTTTTTCCCTGATTCTCAAACTATTTAATTTTGTATTCTTAAATATTGCATCTACTTATATCAATATCATAAGAAGGCTCAAGGTCACCCTAAGGGCGATGGAGCGGGCTATGCTCGGAGTTTCCCTGCGTGATCGAATCAGAAATGAGGAGATCCGCAGGAGAACCAAAGTAACCGACATAGCTCGCAGAATTGCTAAAATCAAGTGGCAGTGGGCGGGGCACATAGCTCGTAGAGACGATGGCCGTTGGGGCAGGAAAGTTCTCGAGTGGCGACCACGGGCTGGAAGACGTAGCATGGGCAGGCCTCCTACTAGGTGGAACGACGATCTGGTAAAGGTCGCGGGAAGAGCCTGGATGCGGGCAGCGCAGGACCGTTCATTGTGGAAAACCTTGGGGGAGGCCTTTGTCCAGCAGTGGACGTCATTTGGCTGAAACGAGACTTATATCAGTTCCATGTAAACATTTTCAGCGTTGTGATTTTAAATTTTTTTGTGTACATTATTATACCACCGAAATATACATAATATCTACTCTCTCTCTCTCTCGTAGCATACACGGATATCTATAAGGTATTCTATCTATAGGCTAATTACCTGGTAACTTCAATAATCTTTAAAACATTATTTAAATTAAAATTAGTCCACCCACCACCGTACATCTAAACTCACCCTTAAAACAGCCTGCGGCAGACTATAATGAGCGATTAGGTTATACACGCTTTGTGCATATCATATTGCAATAACAAAGCTCGATATTTGCTATTTAATTAGTTGAAATAATCATTACTTAGGTAAATGAATTCTAATTTATACAATTCATATACCCACGCACTGTTTACCGAAATTAACATTTGCATAATAACTGTTTGAGAACCTGTTAACCTTATGTTTTAAGTTAAAACAGAGATGAACTGAATATTATTTGAATAGACGTAATATAAAGTCAGGTATCGCAACTAATAGTTTCGGTTTTATTGGTAGAGTCAAACTACCGTGAAAATTACAGGGTGAACTAACACCTTTTCGTGTTTTAGTTGGGCTGCACCCAGTGGTAGATAGTCAGTGATTGACGGACAATTTGTTTGTCACTCATCCCCGCGGTTATCCGACAGCATCGGGAGCGCGGCGTGCCTAACAAGCGTGCGGTTTTTAAACCGCGCGACAACCGTGCGACGGCGCCGTGCGTTTATCAGCTACCAATTGTGTGAAAGCACTCCTCAAAACATGAAGCCATCAACAATTTCCGAGAAAACGAAACGACCGGACGCAGTGACATGCGTCAACATGACAAAGAACGTCCAACCATACGAATAAAGCAATTTTGAGTTAAACGCAAAGAAATGCTTATTACTTAACAACATTTATTAATTTAGCGCAAAACACAAAGGCGATTATCTACAAAATGGCAGGCCAGTTTAAAACAGTTCTCACATGTCGAGTAATATCATGAAGTACCTAGGTGCAGTTTTCTGTTACCGTAGTGTAAATTAAATATATGAACTCATCGATTGTATCCTACATATCATATTAAGGGTAGAAAAAACAGAATAATTTATTGGACAAAAAACAACATACAATATCACACGAGTCGTTACACATTGATTGCGTAGATTAAACAAAGATGAAATTGACAAGCGAACGGACAGGGAGGCAATAAACGAGATTCCCGAAATATTTTGCTTCCATAAATACTCAATAAAGGCCCTTTTCCCACGCCAGTTTCGCGATCGACTCCGGGCTTGATCCGCGTTGCGCCACATTAAATTCTTCACGTTTAATCAATTCCGGAGGGCGGTAGTAAAAAATATCGGAGTGAAGTGTTTCCTTCCGTATCGACGGCGCCGAGAGAGACGCAGACGGCAAATATATCGTTGGCGAGGATTCAAAAAGCACCAAATCTCGGGGCAATTCCGCGGACACGCCTTTTATCTGTACGTCTGTCAAGAGACTTAGCGTCCCCCGAGCACGCAAATAAAAAGTAGTAAGAGAATAAATAATAAGCCACGAGAAACGAAAGGCGCGTGTTACGGTGAGAGATTAAAAAGTACGTACGCTCCGGATTCGGCTGACCTACTTCCGACGACCGACCACGACCATCATTACGATAAAAGCTCGCTTAATAAATTATCGCATGCCTAATGAATTATCATGGCAGAAATGATTACAATTAATGTGTAATATCTTTATCGGATAAAACGAATATTACAAAAGATCACAGACATAAATTAAATTGACAAACACGAATAATGCAGAAGTACCTCTACTCTTCTTTGATGTGAGCTTTATTAAAAAAGCTTTTTGCGTTTTCCTTAAGTTATATTCAGTTACCCGGCGCAAATTGTAGCGAATCAGCGAATATAACTTAGTTTACTGACGGCAAAGAGAGTTGTGAAGCACCACATAGTTCATCAAGTTGCACCGATAATGGCTTCGCGCTCCGAGCGCCAACTTACTTCACGGAGTGCATAAACATACTTAATAAAATCAAATGTTGAGTACCTATTTATACGAATCATAATACGTTTTTCGTCAGGCAAAATACGAGTGAACAAATGGGACGTGTTGACTCACGACTAATGATTCAAATTCAAAAGTCCATATCTCAAACTGTCTAAAAAATGAACGTCAAAGTTAACACATGGGCAGCACGCGCCCGCTCACTGGGCACGCTAACAAGAGGGATTAATAACTGAAACTCTCAATTAAAACGCACATACGTTATCCGCACAAAGCTGATCAAAAAAGTTTTGCAACAGCGTCATTCCTACAGCTAGCGAAATCGAAATTAAAGGGTTTTAAACAAACCATATTATCAAATTAGCCTTAAATGATAACTGTACAATCTGTAACATAAAGAGTAATCCGAGCGCTCTGTAAAAAAATTTGCAAGAGTAAATATGGCGGTCACGACGTCCGGCGTAGTAGTGCGAGGGGTGTTCGTTACGCTACTTTATGCAGGACGGTTGCAGCTATCGCCTCACAACAATGTGCCGGCGGAATCATAAATTCGAAACAATTAGACGATAAATTCCCACTTGAATTAGTATTTTTATTTGCACGTCACGTGCGCACGCCGGTCTTTCTAGCAATTTATGTAGGGAGGCGTCAAATTTAACAGCTCAAAGAAACTGATGGCGCAATCTCTACCTTCGGCGCGTACTCGTGATGCCCCGTAATTATGTGCACAATTTATTGCTGGCTAAACAATCAGCAATCGCTAAGTGGGATATTTCAGATAAACATACTGAAAAACCACGTTATTTACGAAATACTTGCTACAATTTTGTAACTCGTATGGAGAATGTGGACCTATTAGTGAGTAGCGTGTATGAAAGTAGCCGTATTCTAGAGACCCTAGCTGGGCCGATTTGCAACCATTACCGGCCACTGCACTGATCGGCGCCCTGATTAAGAAAAACGAATAAGAGCGAAAGCGTGACACAAAAGCAGAACGATAACAGAGGAGAAACGAGCAGCGAATCGCCTCCAAGCAGACGGTATCTTGGCCCGCCCGGGAGTTATTAAATATTAAAATAAACTCGCATTCCGACACGAGTCCTACGCGATACGCAAGATTATGGCCAACACAATGAGAGTACCGGCTCCGATCGCTCCCTCGCCTTATCATATCAAAGCACGAGCTTACATAATTCAGCTAAGGACGATATTCCCTGGAGCGATCCCTCGATGCTGATGAAAATTTAGCGCCTGTGTAAACAGACAACACTGAAAAAATCTTCGTGAGTAAAAACGAATCGAAACCTACTATAGCTATTGCTATTGATCACATTTTATATAACCTTTGACTGGCACTTTTAAAGGGCAAACATACACCGGTCGCGCCGGTTGTGAGACATCGGAGTCGATTCGACGATCCTAATGGCATAACTCACGAAGAAGGATTGCTTCATCGCGTCTCAAAAGTGTATCGGTGGTCGCATCACTGACTTGCTCAAGCTCCGCCACGCCCACTTACCTGAAACAATGCATCATTACAATATCACTTACTGAGGAGCAAGTAACATATTTACATCATATGCTAAATGACTTACAAGCAACAATCGCGTGATATAGGTCTAACTGTCTTAATCAAATTTATTCCTCTCGTTATTTTACTTAAGTTATTTGTAATAACATAAATACAAGAATAATGAGAGCATTTATTTCAAATGCATCATCATAATTTGCTGAAATGTCGGCAGTTATTAGACAAACGTTACGTTTGACATAGAAAGAAGCAATCGATCGTATTCGACTCGTGAATCCGATCAGCGGCACGCGGATGCCCTACTCGCAACCCTACAATCGTCCGTACTATGAATCGAAATGACATTTTACAAAGTTCATCTGGAATTTCATTAAATAATCTGTACCTGAGATTGGTCTAAATATGCAAACAATCATAGGCTTGTATCTACGTCCACCATCACACTTGAGCATGATGCAAGTTTTGAATGTTGATACTGTTTTCATTAAATTCAAGCTTGAGTGTTGATTCACACTTGACCGTGTTTTCAAAATACAAGCCTCAGTGCCAATAATTAAATCATTCACCTTCATTCGCTCTATCGACGTAGTTTATCGGTTCTCCCGTTTAGTTAAACTGTTGTTATTATTAACTTAGTTGGTGTTTACGCGGGAGAAGTTTGCCGATTGCTTCGTTCTACCACATCTCTTAATGTCAGCGTATTTTAATGTGTCTTAATGCTAGTGTTAATGCTTATGCTATGTCCTTATACGAGTATGGTTCATTCAGTATAGTTGTAAATACGTAACTAATTCACTCAATGGGCTTCGTTGGTTTGTTTGAAACCGCAGCACGCCAAAATGAATGATCTAATTCCAATTGAATTTGGAATGCAAATAATGGACGTAGAGTGAAAAAATGGTGAAAGAATATCAAGCTCTATCTATAGGATAGTAATAGAGTTACGAGTAGATAGCAAGTAGATATGAGTAAGTCGTGCAAAAACCGTATCATTGGCACGTTCTCGGTGAAAAAGCGAAGGAAATGCCTCACGTATTTAACTACCAAGTAAGCNTCTGTGGTTCTACCACATCTCTTAATGTCAGCGTAGTTTAATGTGTCTTTTCTCTAGTTAATGCTATGTCCTTATACGAGTATGGTTCAGTATAGTTGTAAATACGTAACTAATTCACTCAATGGGCATCGTTGGTTTGTAACCGCAACACGCCAAAACGAATGATCTAACTAATTTCGATTGAATTTGGAATGCAAATAACGGACGTAGAGTGAACAAATGGTGAAATAATATCACGCTCTATCTATAGGATAGTAGAGTTACGAGTAGATAGCAACAAGATACGAGTGAGTCGTGCAAAAACCGTATCATTGGCACGTTCTCGGTGAAAAAGCGAAGGAAATGCCACACGTTTTTAACTACTAAGTAAGCCCGTGAGAATATCGCATTCCATATAGCTAAGTACCTAGGTACACGCAGGTACATAAGGTGCAGGAGATGATAAAATTGTAGTTAAGCACATTAGCATTCGTGGCGACTTATCGAGTCGCCTCGCAGTAGTCGTACGCGCACCTGTAAACTTGCAGTGTTTGGAAAAGTGCTTTTAAATTCACTCTACGATTCCTTCATTCACATGTAAACAGCAAAGGTTAAGGAATTAAATTCGCATCGTCAACAATAGTTTAAAAGATATGGTCATAAGGAAGAATAATTGCAGTGGTACCTACTAACATCGGTTCTATGGTTTTTAATGGTAGCAGTTCCTGCAAAAAACTCAACTATACGTAATAGTACCACGGGAAACGTATGTTTACTTTGTTCATCACCTTCGTTCGTTATAGTTGATTTATGCTTCAACCACACCAATGCGTGCAGATCGCCATCGCCAACGCGATCACGGCGCGATCAAAGGCCAATGACAGGTCGCGTGAACTGTCACAGGTCTCGCGATCTGTCATCGCCGGCGATGGCGATATTCACGCGTTGGTGTGGTTGTAGCTTTACGAACACATAAAGATTCACCCTGTATCTACAGCCGGGGATGTTATTGATTAGTTCATTGCTGTAAGACTAAAGCGCATAACAATATGCAAAGCTGCAACCTTGCATCTAAATCCTAAACCGCTCGGGGCTTAGGGAAGATTGTTAACGAACCGTACTCACGCAGATATCTTCCGCGAGATCTCACATCGTGTGGAGGCGGCGGTGTCCACTGTTCTAGCTAATGTTGCTTAATTAACTCGTATTCATTATCAGGGAACACGGCCAATAGGCGCGTGCGTCGACGCAGGTGCAAGACCACCGCAACTTGTTATTTCAATAATTGTGTTCAACTTGCTATTTTGTATGTTAAATTAAGCGTGAAGCCACTATTTAAGCATCTCACCTACGAATTATTTTGGTATTTAATGAAAAGCATTCGAGCTGCCAAAGGTACTCGTTTTAAGTATGTAACATACTATTAAAGGCAAGCTGTTTTCATAAGATGGGTAGGTTTTTACCAATATTACAAAAATTTTATGTACTAATAATATTGTAATAAAGTGTATTATTTCTTGCAATATATTTATCGAAATTCGTTTATCTTGAATTTTATTTTACAAATGTAGTATCCTCCTAAAAACAAATCCATTGTTAGTTTGCATAACTACTTTCAAAGAGAAATTGTTAAAAGAAATGTGATCAGCATCAAAACAAATATTTACGAAATTAATGTAATGGATAAATAAACAAATGGTAGCTCTACATCTGACTAGACGTGAATTTACTAAAAATATTATATACTTACAAATACACTCATAAACGAAATTTGTTCTGAAACACACCTATGTCATATTTCCTAACAAAGTTTTCCGGTAAATAAACCACTCTCTTCCCCAAACAAAGTTTTCTGTATTGATATAACACAATGCCATCCATTTCAAAGGTATTACTCGTATACCTACATTGTACGTACACAATGCCATAGACTTTGTATATCCGTACATCGCCTTTAAGTTACGTAGTATTATTAATCCAGGCGTCAAGCAAGTTTCGTGTCGTCGGGTCGGTACAGTCGGAGAAATATTAGGGCTATTAATATTCGGAGGTTGCACACACGAGATAGCTTGCGCAGAGAGGTCAGGTGACCGTAATGCATGGCTCCGTACGCCTTGACGTATAGACCCATGGATGCAACGCAAACATTTAAATTATCATAATGACTTGACTTCACTAGCGTTACACGGATAACTAAGTGCGATTAGCAAGTTAATAACAGAACCGCACACCCACCCAGAGTCACATTCCGAGACTGAATCATGAAATGTGGTAATCTCAGAATACTTTGTAATCTAATAGGTATAGAAGTAGAGTCAAAACCAACCTAACCTACCCTATGTTTAAGTATAATTTTGAGTTGCAACATTTATACTCCTACCGACACGTTGACGATCGCGAAATGATATGGATAAAATTAGTTTAACGTAAATTAGGAAATTATTTTCGATCCAATTAGTGGCATGCACAAAACAACCTTAGGCGGGCAATCCACTAGAGCTGCTGCAGTAACGTCGCCCAAAGCGAGCGGCAGCGTCACGCAGACTCGCGCCGCCATTATGCAAAACACACACCGGATACGCGCGTGAGTTATCATTAAATACATAATAAGTTCTCATCTTGCTACTTATCGCCAGCCATTCCAGTGAGAACAAATTCACTCAAAGGCCCTTAGAATTTGCTCTACAGATAAATATGCAAATACTTCACAATTACATACCTTCTGTAAAGATATTACAGGCCGAACAGCGCCGAGTATCGAGTTCAAGCGCAGCGTTCGCGTGCTTTATGATTGTGGAGGACAAAATAAATTCTCATTACAAGCCCGTGGAAATAGAATGCTGCAGTGTGGTAATGAGATTACATTTACAGTTATTGCTACCATTAGGCAGTCTGTAGGTGTTCACCACAAATAGGAATAACAGAGACCTTGTACCATAAATTAGCTTACACAGCGAATAAAAATACGAATGTAGATGATGCCTTACATCACGAGAACCTTATCTTTTATTAATGTAAAATGTAAGGCTGTCGGGGAGCGGATTATGAAGTAAATGATTATCAGCATTTGTCGTAGATCAAGATTTGGATCTTTTATCTACATCTTTTAATGTCACAATTCTGAACGAACTCGAGACTGTATTAAAATTCAATTGTATTTATATAAATAAGGTAATCGAATTAAATCGACAAGGTTTGTTATATGCAAACAACGAATTTAAATCAGTCGTAAATGGCAAATAGGTGGTCGTAAAATTGAGTGCGGCGACAATAATAGTAGGGACTGACGCGAGCCTCTTCGCGCCGGCTCGTCGCGTTATCGCACGCCGCACTATGGAGCGAAATTGCGATTTATGGACATAGCGATTTTTTTCACAATTTCTATTAGAAAAAAATACCTATCGATAGGTTACGTTATTCTGATGAATAAATGATACACAAGTTTTTCTCTAAAACCAATAGTTTGACTGGAAAAAAATATTTTCCATTTTCGTTGTATGGAATGAAACATAAAGTGGTCGATTTCGACTAAGCCTTGACAGATTAATAAATCCCCCAATAATATAAATTCCTTTGTTTTTGGTGCAAATTTTAGTGTTTCGTAGCAGGTTTTTAAAATTTCTAAAGCTTATTGTATATCATCTAACAATGGATACTTTAGATAATACGTTTTCCTACATTCTGAATTATAATAACTATATCGAAGATGATGTGGTTCGCGCATTTCATGAAAAGTTACTTCGGTGCACATCATTTAGACCGCGTGAGCTAGAATTATTTCAACACCCTGAACTGATTGAACCTGTACCTAAAAATGAGACGCACCTTCAAGTAATTTATGACGGTGACGTGGGATTAGTGGGGCACTGGAGTTGTATTTATTACATTAATGGAATACTGCGTGTGTACGATAGTCTTGTTGGTGTTCTAGGAAAATCGCAAAAAATATATGTAA